CGTTCTTGTGTTTCAGCACGTCTGTTTGTTCGGGCCAAGTCATACCCGACCGGGTATAGTCCTATACCCGACCGGGCATAAGTCCAATTTCATGGCAACTTCTATTTTCTTGTCAGACCCGACCGGGTGAGAGTCCCTACCCGACCATGTAATGCTCCTGTGAACGGTACCATCAACTGTACTACTACTTTACAACTCACAAATGAAAGCTAAAATACAATTACAACCAAAATCTCACAAATGTTTACAAACTAAATAATAAAGGTAGACAATCAACATAAATCAAACATAAAAACATACATTTATGCGCTACTAACTAGTGCAATCAAACACCTCTACGCTTAGTTCTTTACTCATCTCGAGTAAATGCAAAACATGTCCAAGAAGTCCTAAAAATGACTAGGGTTGTAATACTTGAGATTTAATTGAAACAGATTAATAGTACTACTCATACCAACAAGATGCATCTCCTTTTACGGGAGCTCATCACCCAAGAACTCCAAAGTTAAGTGTGCTTGCACGGGAGTAGTCTTGGGATGGGTGACCCCCTGGGAAGTTTCTCAGGGCGCGCACGAGTGAGGACAAAGTGCGCGGAAAAGGCTAGTGGCGGTTTGTGAGGACAGTACTATTGCTCAGAAGTAACTACCTCGGGGACTACGGGGTCGGGGTGTTACAAATGGTATCAGAGAAACTCTGCGACAGTGTGTTGACCCGTTGGATATCGGGCGGACACTTAGCGGGGGGGGGGGATTCTGGGATTTGATTGAGATTTGAGATTGGTTGATGGGCGCAACGAGGACGTTGTGTTCCTAAGTGGGGGTGATTGTAATACTTGAGATTTAATTGAAATGGATTAATAGTACTACTCATACCAACAAGATGCATCTCCTTTTAAGGGAGCTCATCACCCAAGAACTCCAAAGTTAAGTGTGCTTGCACGGGAGTAGTCTTGGGATGGGTGACCCTCGGGAAGTTTCTCAGGGCGCGCACGAGTGAGGACAAAGTGCGCGGAAAAGGCTAGTGGCGGTTTGTGAGGACAGTACTATTGCTCAGAAGTAACTACCTCGGGGCCTACGGGGTCGGGGTGTTACAAGGGTATCAACACAACCATCCAAGAGTGTTTTCAGAACAAAATAGCACAAAGTATCCTTGAAAATAAAAGAGTAAAAAGGGGGTCTTCAACTCCATGTCTCATATCAACCTCTCTTCTTCATTGTTACCGTTAAGATCATGCAAAAATAAAAGAGATACTTTCTCTCATTCTCTTATTTTGTCTAGGTGTCCTTTCGGATTTTCATCCCAGCTTCCCACATCTTTCTAGTTTAATCCTCACAAACTCACTCTTATTTTTGCTTTATTTTTGCTTAAGTTGCCCTTTTTTGTTTTCAACTTAACAAAGTTTTTTTATGTTTTTATTTTTTATTTTTTGAAAATAAGAATAAAGAGCATGAATGTGAGCATTCCATAAAACTCTCCCCCCAAACTAGCCAAAGTACCGTCCCTAGTGCTCATCTCCGAGATGTCCTAGAAGATGAACATCTTTGCCTTTTTGTGCCATTTCTTTCTTTTTGGTTGAGGGAATTTCAGACTTGGTGTAGGTGGAGTTAGGGAATTTGGATTTTTGGTTATTTGAGGGGTTTTGTTGGTATAAAATTGAAGAGGATGGAGAGGAGAAAAAGAATATGGGGTTAATTTGTGGATTTGGTGGGTGGATGAGAGAGATATGAGAGCTTGAAAGTATAAAAATGGTGGATTTTGGGAGCATGGTTCAAAATTGTGGTACAAGAGTGGGCGGGGAGGGCGTCTGATGATTGCATGGTGATGTAAATAGAGCCGAACTCTAGATATGCAATTGTGATGTGTCGAACTTGAGTCTATGACTTGTATGTTTGAATTGGAGCCGAGCTCTATGATTGCATAGAAATGAAGTTGAGCCAAGCTCTTGCTATGCAGTTGTGATGCATTGAATTTGAGTTAAATGTTTGTACGAGGATGTACTAGAGTCGAGCTCTATAAATGCAAGATGAAATGCTATGGTTGAACTCTATGATTGTCGTGGCCAGTAGTCACGGGGACTAGGGGTGGTGTTTTCAAATGAACATGGGTCCACAGGCCGACTACTTGATTTTATATAAAGTAAGTACATTTTCAAACGGGGTAACTTGGGGTTAGCCCCAGAAATGCAAAGTATGATAGTACGGACGAGTAACCCTCATGCCAGGTGAACCTTAGGGTAATGAATTTTAAATAATTGAACGTGCTTGGTCGAGAACGAGTTCCCAATAGAATATTTTCCTTGGTCTAGGAATTGATTTAAACCATGTCCGTGATATGGGAGCCCGAAGAGTCACGCGCGGGTATTTTTCCTTTGATATCGGGTGACTTAGCCCGTGGGTGACTCCATCCGAAGGTAAGACATGAGAAGGGTGAATTTAATAGGGCCTGTTATGCCTAAACGATTTGAAAGGTAAATGGGGCCACGAGCCAATTATTGTGCTCATATGTATATATAGATATATACGATATGTTTTGAAAAATAGGTAGCTAAGAGTTATGCTCATAAATATACTATCACCCCATGTTGAGGGTCCCGTGCGAGAAACATTAGTTATGTTACATATAGTTTGTCCTTGCTAGTAATTTTCTGTAGTACTCACCCCTTGGGGGGACCACCATTTCAGGTTGAAGCTAGAGCTTTCTTCGTGCACCCTTTGTTTGGGAGATTGATGGAGAGAAGATGTGGTTCATGCTTCCTTTGGTTCTGTTTCTAAATAATTAAATAATGCTCATGGAATTTTTTTGACTTATAAAATTAATGGAGCTCGCGAGATCTTGTTTTGCTCTTGTGTGAGTTCTTATTAAACACTTATATTCAGATTGGTGTTAATTGTATGTTGATGTTGTTATGTATGTTTACTGACCAGTTTGACATATGTATTCTATCAAACGTCTTGTGAAATTCGGTAAGGATGAACTGCGGTTATTCTTATTAGGTTGTACGACGATTGTCTACGTGGCACATACGCGGTCTGGAGCGTGACGGATATGATATTTTAAAATAAAGACAACACAAGTACCAAATGGTCATATAGTACTCGCGAAGTGAGCCACTAAAAAATGAAAAAAAAACTCTTTCATATCCAGATGTATGATGCTCACATTAAATTCATATGTACTCTATATGGACTGAAAGTGTCATGTCAACTATAGTACATGAATTAACTTGAAAATGGAAGTTGAAAAAATGTCATCTCAGCTAATGTTATCTTGATTACCAATATATAATAAATGTCATTTTAACTATGTAGAGCACACCAATTAACTTGAACAAGATTATCTGAAACTTTAAATTTAGTACACACATGTGGTAAAACTTGAATAATAAAAGACATCATCTATTTTGGCTGACAATTTCTTAGAGGTAATAATAATTTCTTAATACACTACATTTGTTGAGAGCTAATTCCAAAAATAGTTCTTGACTATCAAGGCAATATCCAATTTAGTCCCTAATTATTAATTTGGTTAGCTTTGATCCTAGACTTTTACGTCTTTACAAAATCTTGTCATCTTTTAATTTTCGTATTTTTTTCGTCAAGTACAAGTTGTGACTGAGGGTCATATTTATAGCCACGTTTGCAAAGTAGGAGAGTCTCAATGAAATATGAAGATGAAAATTGCTTATTAAAGAGTAAAGCGACGTTGCACAGTCGAGTGAGTAGCTTTTCGGAAGGTCGGCAACTATTTTGAATCAACTCTAGAAGACCAATATTTGTGATTATAGGATTTATAGCAATATAGCAGTGAAAAAGACATGGGTTCTCCGAGATTACCGCATGAATTCTTCGAAAGAGAAGCAACGGGGTAGTTCAGGAATTAAAAATTGCATTTATGATCGTCTGAAGAGAAACACTTGCTTTGATAACGTTATATTCTGGTCATTTTTCATGACATTAGCTTCCGGTTTCAGCTTATTACGCAGTTAATTTCAGCCCATAATGAGCTGAATATCCCTGGACAACATAGCCTAAAAAAGTGATGAATAAACCCATGTGTAACCTTATAAATGAGTTGACTTGTATTTAACTTTAAGAAAAGATGGAAAAATTAAGGACTAAACTTTGCAAAAAGGTGAAAGTCAAGGATGATAATGAATAGCCTTAAAACTAAATTGAGTATCCTACTTTGCATTAACTCCGTTTGTTTATTCTTCAAAGAATTTAAAACCATCTAATGGAAAGCATTTTTGGATGTATTTCAAATAATCGTCCTGGTTTGACCTTCACACAGATTAAGAAAGTGAAGTTGACTTCACACCGTAGCGACACTGTTTGACACTGTTTTGCACTGTTTGACACTGTTTTGTATAGATTTGTTTACCAAATAAGGAAAGGAGACAATTATTTCGGGACGGATCGAAAAAGAAAACAGGACAATTATTTCGGGACGGAGGGAATATTTATTTATCATAATGCAAGGAAATCGAACCTCATTGAAATTTGAGAATGACACAAATATACCATTAAACCGTGGCGCCCAAATAAAAGTTACAAACTGGATTTGAATAATACTTCCGTTCCATTGGATTTTAATTTTCTCGTGTTAAAAAACTGTCATTTTTTCATTAAAATAATTATTTTGTGATTTTATTCATTTCGCTCTTCTATGTACAAACTTTAATGAGACAATTTTTTCAATTTTTCTTTCAAATAGTGCAAAGTCATTTTTCATCTTTTCTTTTTTGTTTGTCCTACAAAATTTTGACACTTTCTCATTAAAGTAACTATTTTGTGTTTCTATTCATTTCTCTATATTTTGCACGAACTTGAACCACACAATTTTCACTATTATTATTTCTCACATAACTTTGTCATTTTTTCATTAAAATAATTATTTTGTGATTTTATTGATTTAGCTCTTCTATGTACAAACTTTAATGAGACAAAGTAGTGCAAAGTACTACTTATCCAACTGAGGTAATATTTAATTTAAGGAATATACTAGTATACCACTGTGACGAAAGAGCATGTCCCAAAAGAAAAATATATCCAACTGTAAAACAAAGCTCTGTGTCGGAAGAGGTTTTGAGGTCACCAGAAAGATTTATAGAAAAAAATGATTGGTTTTATGCAATGGTTGTTGGGGTTCGCTTTTGCTTCACTTCTCTGAGATCAAGTCCGGGTATGGGTCTATTTCTTCCATTAACAGTCATGTAATTTTCCGTTGTCTTTTCTAGCATTTCCGTTGTATGAAGTCTGTGTTTTAAGAAGAATTCTTGGATTTGTTGGTGCTTATAGTTTTCTTAAGATTCTTGGTTGATCTCATATTTGGTAAGAAAATGGAACTGGAAAATTAGATCTTATTGCTAATTCAATTTTATGAAAATTGATGCCCTATAATTCTGGGCTTGAGGGAAGTTAGATGATTCTCATCAATTTCGCAGTCAATTTGAAGGAACCGGTATTCCTTTTTTTTTTTCTAAAAAAGAAGTAAAAAGTAAATATTATTTATTTATTTCTTTTCAAGTTCTTTGGCATTTTTCCTGTGTTGTAGATGGTGGCAATTTTTTTCATAGTCTGGATTTAGTGAGTTAGACATGGCAGCTTGTTATTTCAAGCTTCAACCCCAATTGTATGGTGTTGGTATCAATTTGTTGTGGTGATGAACGTTTGATGTTGACTAGTGACTAGTGATTTGATGTGGGGAGATGGATTTGGAGTTTGAGAAGTACTGCGCATTGGATGGAAGTCCAAGCCCAACAACGGTGCTTCTCCCAGTTACCCCCGTCCATCAGAAACTCGAGAAGATGATCTCACGGGAAAGATCATTTAGCAACAACAACTACTTGTTCAGGAGCGAAGACTACTTCTTCACCCATACATCAGTAGATGATGGTGAGGATTTGCTTAGGCGGAGTTCCTCCAATATGCAAAAACCAGACAGTGGTAAGGAGAGGACAAAGATAGAATTCTCACGAGATAGCGCCGCCGCATTCTCATTTGGAATTGTTGACACATTGTGTGGTTTGGATGATGATTACGCAGTCTCATCAAGCCCAGCAGCAGGCTATAGCAGTGGCAGAAGACTTAGCAAAAATCTCCACCCTGACCTGTTTAATCTCAGTGCTGCTGCTGCAATGTTACCAGCACCTCATTCGCCTTTCTGGTCAGAAAACAGTGGCTCGAGAGCCAGTAGCAGCAGTAGTTGTAGTCCAAAAGCAGTCCGGTTTGGTCCTATGAAAAGGCCATTTGGTAAAAGAATCAAATTCCCCAGAAAAGGAAATAGTGTATTGGGCAATTTGGCTGCAGCGGTTGAATCTGGGGTTGGGCCGCCGCCAAATTGGGTTACTCCTCCTACCACAGAAAGTGTTAATGGGGGAAAGCGAGATTTTTCAAACATGGCTTCATGCTTGCAAGGTGTCCTCAAGCTGGAGAAGAAACGACATGGCTTCATTCAGTTTTCAGTACCCTTCTCTGAAGAAGACATAGTTTTTGTGGCCGAGGAGAAGTGGAATTCAGGGTATGAGTTCCGTTCTCTTCCTAGTAATAATAGAAAGAATGAGGAGAACCACTATAGACTCAAAGAGCCATCCTCATCTTTTATTGTCGGGCATATGAGGACGTCTTGTCGTATCAGTACAGAACTAAAACACCATCCGGGAATTTGTAATAACAACGACAACAACTTTTTCGTCATGGAATTTGTATTGTATGACATGAGAGAAAATGGTTCATTTCTCAAAAGTTTATATGCTCCTTCCCCCGATGATGTTTTATCTGGGACAGGTAATATTGGCGCTAGAAAGAAGTCTCCTGCTCCTACTGCTATTCATAATGATGATCCACCTTTGGAATTGCGACCGGAGCTTGAACTTGCAGCGATTGTGATTGAATTGCCATTCGCTTTGAAAAATAGAAACTGGTGCGAGAACAAGTTGTTGAGATCTGAGGACGATGCTTGTTGCGAATATAATAGTAACAACAACGGTCTGAGGCATGTGAAGATGATGAATGTGGTGCTCCCATCAGCTGGGGGGTGTCACAGTCTGCCAACAACCGAAAGCCGAGAGGCCCTGCATCCGTTGATAGATAGATGGCGGCTAGGTGGAGGTTGTGACTGTGGTGGCTGGGACCTGGCTTGCCCCCTAAGAGTTTTTGACATTACAAATGCCCAGATTGGCAACGACGACGACTCTCCACTCATAAACAACCAAAAGCCATTTGAACTTTTCCTTCAGGTATTTTTTCTTCTTCATATTATTAGCTCTCAAGTATTCATGCATTAGTGTTGTCTCTTCCAAAATGTCATGACATGTCGATGAGTTCAGATATTTGAGTATTCATGCATTCATGCATGTATGTTTTTTTTTATCCCAGGGGGTCAGGGGGCTAGGGTTTGGGGGAGCTTGGGGTAAACAAGACTGAAACTCTCTCCATGGAGTTTCGAACCCGAGACCTCTTGTGTGAGAGAGTGAGTCGGCGACCAGCTGAGCTGGACCGCTTCTCCTTGCATGCATGCATGCATGCATGTATGTATAAATTTATTTATTTATTTACGATCCTATCTTGCAATTCTAAAAATATATGTCTCTCTATCTTTGTTTCCATCATATTCATTTTTTGCTCTAAAACATTGACAAGTAGAGTAGAATGAATCTTGACTTCCGCAAGCAAGCACAAAACATCAGGAATAGTTTTCATTGATCAATAACAAATCAACAACCAAGTGTTAATCCCCCCAACCAAGTAAAGGGTCAACTGACAAATAAAATCTTGGAACCTTAGCTCCAATGCCCTTTTTTTGAACCTCAAACCCACCCATGTTATTTTCTGTCTACCACAATACTACCACAACTCCCTCTCTCTGTTTAAGCCTCCAGCACTCCAAGACTTCACTCCCTGGCTGTCTACCACTTTTCTTCAAATAGCACCCCAACTACACCCACTCTCACGTGAATCTCCTATATTTGGACTTCACTTTTTCTAGTTTTGCCACACATATTTTTACATTTAGTTTCACATTTTACACGCAACTCCTTCATTTATATATTTCTGAGTTAGCCAACCCAAAATTCTGATCAGCGGCGTTTATTTGCAAAGGATTTGATGGATGAATGAATTAGTTTCATTTGTCCGCCCGAATTTGGGGATCCCTAGCTGTCAATGATTCTGATCCATATCAATCATCAATCAGTACATAATATATTATGTAGTCAGTTTGATGGAGGTTGATCCTATAAATCTTTTCTTTTTTCTGTGTATGTTGTCATTAGTACTTTTACTTGCATATATCAGCCAACCAATTGTCCACATATGCAGGGAAAGAAAGGCAAGGCACCAGCATTGACGATGATGGCATTGACGGATGATGGGCAACAATATGCTGTCAGCTTCCAGCATGACTTATCTGTGTTACAAGCATTCTCCATTTGTGTTTCAGTTCTTCACACCACGGAGGCCTTAGCAGCAGGTTCTATGGAGCGCAGGAGAGGCAAAAATGTAAAATCCTTGCAGCAAAGAATGTTTGCCAAGCACGACTTTGGTAGTTTGACCGAAGCGGTTAGGCAGCAAGAGAAGGCGAAAGGTAACAGAAAGGTTGACCAATCTCTTCCTTTATTTGTTGTCAACCCTCTCTTCTCTTCCATTGCTCGAATATGAGTTTGCAAATTTGTTATATTTTCAAGTCTTGAGAAGGAGAAGAAAAGCAAGGATGAATAATATTCATACAATTAATTAGTTGATAGCTTAGGGGATATAAATATCATAAATTCTTTTGCTTTTAGAAGAATATCCTAGATAGATGTGTTTTGGAGATTTATGTAACAAGAGGAGTTGAGACAAGAAGGGAAGGGGAAGTATGTTTGACTTTGATTTCCGGATTTGAAAACTCCAGCAGCACTTGACGTTCTTTGTTTACACACACATACCACTTGGTTGGTTGCAGGTTTGTTGAGCTGGATGGGCGCCAGGGCTTTAATTGAACCAATATGTTTCTATATTATGGTTGTTTCCAGTCAAACTAAGGTTTACGGTATTATGTCGTTAGCATAAAAGGATCTATCACTAACAGCGTTAATCTTTATGAATTGGGGTTGGTCCATTAAAATTAGACCTTTTTAGTTTTTGGAGTACAAAAGTAAATGTTATGGATAAAAATAAGTCCACATTCAAAAAATTCCAAAATTAAAACTAAACTACTACCGGTAACCATGATCATGACCAATCCGATCAGGGACCAATCTAATCACTCACCATGATCAAACTCACCAAAGACTAACTAGACTAGTGACAAATCCAACCAGAGACCAATTCGACTAGTGACCATGACCAACCATATAGTCACTATGACCAACTCGACCACTGATCATGACCAATCCAATTAGTGACCATGATCAACCCGCCATTGAACAACCCGGCCAGTGACCTTTGCCTCCTTTACCTTTAATGACCGGCCTTGCCCCGACTGTTGCCACCTCCCTCGACCGCCCTCCCCCAATGACCGCCCGACCTTTGCCTCCTTTACCTTTAATGACCGGCCTTGCCCCGACTGTTGCCACCTCCCTCGACCACCCTCCCCCAATGACCGCCCGACCTAGTGACAATAACTGTCCTGTACTTGCACCCTCCTCAGCCACCTCTTTAGCCCACCTTCCAAACCCTAGCCTCTTCCCAAATTGCTGCACCACCACCCACAACCTTAGTCATCCAGATTTAGCCGTACTGTTGCTCCAAGTCGATCTGAAACTTGTCCGTCATTCTGGCGGTGCTCAACAAAATAGGAGAAGAGTCATGCTTCGAACCTAGCCACCTAGGGCAGGAAAGTTAGACAAGAACGACGGTGCCATGGTTGTATAGAGTCGTCACTCATCATCGCCCTTGTCGCTCGCCGTTGCCTTCGCCGCTCACCATCTCTGCTCTCCGCTCGCCTCGTATCCCGTTTTCATTTATCACAATCGCAGCTGATATGAGAAATGAATAGGGTGATCGATAGGGATTGGAGACGGAAAAGAACACAGTTGGTCCATCACTTTGGTCCCTTTTTTGTCCTCCACAAAAGTGTCCTATTTTTGCCCAATCAAAACTCTCAACTCTTATTTTTGACATTATTTCTTTTGAATTCTACGTCTCATGGTAACACAATTGTTTATAAGTTTCTTTGAAAATCACTTCATGAAAATAGTTTTGGATCAAATTAATTTTTTTAATTTTGTTACTCAAAATCGTCATAAACTGTTAATTAGTGTTTATAGTAATGACCTCATATAGGAGTAAAACTTAGGAGAAATTCTTAAATAGGAGTATGTATGTTTTCTTCTCCAAATAGGACTATATTACTCTTATTTAAAACATACGGACTTTTCAATTCCATTCTTACCCCTACCATGTTTAACCTACGATCGATCCACACTTCCACTCATCGTCTTCTCTCTCCTTTCTGCGCACCATCCTCTCTCCTTCTCCATTGATCAGTTTCATCTCCTCTGCAAAGTTTCGTCGCCTTCTTCTTCTCTGCAAATCAGACCGGTCAACTTCTCAACACGTTGTCATCAATTTGTACCTAGCCATATCTGATGCCGCTAACTCCACTGCACACTGCCTACAAATCAGGTTTCTTCTCCTTCTCCTCATCTTCTTCTTCCTCCTCCTCCTCCTCCTCCTTCTTCCTCCTCCTCCTATTATTCTATTTTTCAGATTTTTCTTCTATTTCTCTGTTTTTTGAGTTTTGACATTCGATTTGTTGATTTTTGGACTTCTATTTCGTATTTCCATTTTTAATTTCTCAAATTTTCCCGATTTTCTCAATTTTTTTGATGATGGAGTAGATATTTGCCAAGTTTATGGCAAAAATTAAATGTACACTGACAATCGTATTATGATGATGAAATTTTGGTGTAAACTGGTTTTTCTGATTTTTATCATTAACATAATATTTCTGATTGAGGTGGATTTGTTAAAGTGATTGTTCCATTTTATTAAACTGGATATTTAGTTGTTGACTTCATATTTTGCCAAGATTTTGGCAGTTTTGTGCAAATCTGCCAAGAAAAATCTCCCAACATTTGGATAGATTTAAAAATTCGTTTTCATGGCAAATTTGTAATTAATCGCCAGGGATAAGTCTGCCAACTTAATGACAAATTATTAATGACATCAGAGTTGTGACGGCAACGGCGATGCTCAGAGGTGAAGCGGTGCCCTGAAATTGACACTTAGAGATTGGGCGGTGACTACAATGTCAGCGATGTAGATTGGGCGGCAATGACGGAGGGGGAAGGTGGTGGCGGCGGCAGTTGGGCGGAGATGGATGGCAACGCCAATGAGGGAGGCGGGCAGCACCGATGTGGGAGGCGAAGGCAGGCGGCACCGGCAATACATGGCATGCGACTCTAGCGAGGGTTGGTGAAGTTCTAGGCCAATATTTTTTCGACTATTCATTGTTTGTTCATTTTCAACTCGTGTACCTGATTTACAAGAAAGTAATATTTGTCAACTTGGTCTTAAAAGGTTCGAACATAGGTTACGTGAATACTTCTATTTTGACAAATTATAAACTTTTTACTCCTATGTTGGGAATTAACTCTAGTTTTTATCGATTCTTAATTTTTTTCAAAAAATAATTTTTATTAAATATAATAATTTCAAAATTAGTTTCATTAATATATTTAAAAAATAATGATACACGATGGTAGTGTATTAATGATAGCATTTCACATTAGGTGACGCTCAATGCCACATAGGATCCAAAATGGGAAAAAGTCATGTTAGCAAAGAATGTCAAATATGCATGACATCAATAAGATGTAAGTCTAATTATACAATACTACCATAGATTCCAGTTTGACAGAAACAAATCTCAAGTCTAAATGCGCTCAACCATATACTAAACATTTTCATTTGCATTTTTATCTGTTACAACGGCTATGTAGAAATAGAACTTAAATAAATACTGTTAGAAAAAGAAACACAACCTATTTCTTAGTCATGTCCGTTTCATTTTTAAATTAAACTTATGTGGTAACTTTTGTGAATTTATAATTAGTTACTTGTGATTTTATATATGAAGTTGCAATGGTCCATAAAATTTCCCGGCCTATTCAGTTCATTGAAAATTAAAAAGATGAATTCTCAATTACTATTTCATTCATAACGGAAAGCATTGGAAATTTTAATTTTATTAAAAAACAAACGCCAATGGGTTTTCATTTCTCCACAATTCTTATACATACTAACAATTGAGAAAAAGATTACACTGAATTTTGGGGGAATTTTTTGGCCACCGGAAGAGTCCGTACACGCCGTCCAAACGTCGCCGGAAAACTGCCTGCATCATCACTGCGTCATCATGCAGTCCAGAGGAAGAAGACGATCCACATCAGCTGCCACGTCATCGCCACGTTGGACCACGTCAGCGACACGTGGTGTCGAGTCAGCCACCACGTCATCCACCCGAGCCGTCCGCTGTGAGCCACGCTAGACGCCACGTGGCTACACGTCATCGCCCCGTCAGCGAGGGAGCAGAGCCACGTCATTCGCCTGCTGGGCTGCAGGCTGAACTGCTGCCTGAACCGGACCGAACCGGTTTGTAGTTGTGGAGGCCGGTTCACCCATTTCCAGACCGGTTTTGGATGAGGTCAGACCGGTTCCTACCATTTTCGGCCATTCCGGATCCAACGACGAGCTCCGTTTGTCCAAATTCGGCTTCGAAAATAAGGTACGAGATATATTGAGTGTTTTATTATGGATAAATCATCATCGGACACCATGATTGCACTCACTTCCACAAATTACAATATGTGGAAGTCTCGGATGGAGGATTTGCTAAATTTGAGGGATTTATCCGATCCTCTCGATAATAATGGCGTGAAACCGGATAAAAAGACGGATGAAGAATGGACAAAAATGAACCGAAAAACTGTCGCACAAATTCGACAGTGGATAGATCATGGTGTGTTCCACCATGTTGCGCAAGAACAAAGTGCTTACACACTATGAGAGAAGCTTGGTAGCATTGACGAACACTTTGTCACGGTGCGTCAAAATAATTTTCAATACTAACACTTATACGTAGTATAGCGTAGTAGAGTTCGTATCCACAGGGAAAAGAATAATTCTCTTTTTGTGAAACTTAGTAAATAAAAGGGGGGATTTGGATTGAGTGATTTAATTATTAAGAACTAAGATGAACAACCTATATGTGTTTAATTCAAAGATAAAAAGCACTTGGCATTGCTATTTTCCACTTGTTGATATATTTTAGTCGATCATTATTATATCTATAACTTATTCCCTCTCGAATACTCAATCGGGGAGTATATCCACTTCATCGAGCGTAGTTATTAACAACAACCGTTCATTAATAACCCTTACTATTAATCAAATATAGAACAACGCCTTATACCGATTTAATAGTAGCATTTAATCTTTCTAACTCCTTGATGAAATCAATTGAGATTGATAACCTCAACACAACGGTTTCGGTTTAACCAACAAAATTAATCCCTCTTAAGTTTATTAACCACGACCGTGCATTAATAAACCGAAGTTACTTACTTGTGAAACCATCAACGATTAACCATCGGTTCGTTGATCGTTTCTAGTAATAATTAATATATGAAACAAAACTAGTTGATCCTTTAAATAATGTTCAAAATATTAATATGAAATATGAGTAGGGATTAATTAATATTCAAGGAAGAATATTATTAAAGAAGATGAATCCTACTATAATTAATATCAAGATGTTAACTAATTGTCATCTTAGCAACACTCCCCAATATTAATATAGAGGAAGAAAATACCATTCTAACTAATGTCGAGATGTTAACTAATTGTCATCTTAGCAACACTCCTCAACATTAATATAGGGATGGTATTAAGGAAAGAACTATTAATTAATATTCAAGGAAAGAAGTTAAGAAAATAACTCACAACTTTAATAATCAACAAGCTTCAAGAGCAACACCAAGAATGGAAGTTTAGCTCCTCATTTGGAGACTAAACATAGCTAGAAAATATAAAGAAATGCTATTCTAAACTGAGCTTAAGAGTATGGAAGAAGGAATGATTTTTAGAGAATAAAAAGTGTGCTATTTATAGGTGTTTTTCAACACCTTTGGCCGGGTACCCGACCGGGTCCGGTCAAAATCAGATAATCCGCCACGTTCTGGTGATCTTCGCACGTCATTTTGTCCCGGGTCACATCTGACCCGACCGGGTCAAGTAGGGGACCCGACCGGGTCCAGTGACTTTCTTGGCAATTTCGTCTGTTAAATCATACCCGACCGGGTGGGGGTTTCTACCCGGTCGGGTTTCACTCCTGGGCAGTCAAATTTCTTGTTTTCTTCTCTTCAAAGTCTTCCTTTCCAACACCACAAATCCTAACTATACTTTACAACTTATAAATAAAGAATAAAATACAATTACAACTGAAATCACATAAATGTTTACAAACTACATACAACGTCAAACAATCAACATAAATCAAACATAAAAACATATAATTATGCACTACTAATTAGTGTGCATCAAGCATGTATCAAGCAAAAACCGCTCGAAATAAGACGTTACTAATGAGGCGATTAGTAAACCACATTGCGAGGTGGTATTTCGGTTTCAGAACACACCAATCAATTTCAGGATCTTGTGAATCAGTTGAGCACCACCGGATGGGTTTTCAAAGATGAAGAGCAGGTGATATTACTGTTGAGCTCTCTACCTGACAGCTGGGAGACTCTTGTTGTCACTCTCAGCAATTCTGTTCCCAATGGCAAGGTGACTATGCAGATGGTCACAGATGCCCTTATGAATGAAGAAGCCCGAAGGAAGAAAGCCGGGACTGAACAATCATATGCCCTCATATCAGAAACTAACAGACGAGGGGGAGGCAGAAATGGAGGAAGAAGTCGGGGTCGAGGTAGAGGCCAAGGTCAAAATAGAGGAAACTCTCAAATTCGCGGCAAATCACAAGAGAGAGGTATGTCCTTTGAAAACAATACTTGATTTGAAGG